CAATTTCTTGGTAAAAAGGTTTAAACTTTGAAGTTAATTTGGTTTGGTTGATTAGGCTACACAAGAGGTTGTTTCGAGAGTTCCATTGACTACTAATGAAGAGTTTAAAGCGGCTGTATCCGCTGCGAAGCAAGCGTTTCCTTTGTGGAGGAACACGCCGATTACTACCCGGCAGCGTGTTATGCTCAAGTTTCAAGAGCTTATACGCAAGAATATGGTAACTACTTGGTTGAGTTTGTTTAGTTCTTGACGTTTGTTTAGTTTCTTGATATGTCCTTGGATGAAAGTTTTGATTTTTCTGTAGGATAAACTTGCTATGAACATTACGACTGAGCAAGGGAAGACGTTAAAGGATTCACATGGTGATATCTTCCGTGGGTTAGGTTAGTGTTTTTTCATTTATTGCAGTTTGATTATAGGGCTGTCAAGCAGAGCAGAGCCTTATTGATTGTTTTTTGGGTACATGTTTTCTTATGCAGAGGTTGTAGAGCATGCCTGTGGAATGGCAACTTTACAGATGGGTGAATATGTCCCCAATGTGTCGAATGGGGTTGATACATATAGTATTAGAGAACCATTCGGTGTCTGTGCTGGTATTTGTCCCTTCAACTTTCCAGCAATGATTCCTTTATGGGTACAATGCTAACTCCCTTTTGCATATGCCTTCATTTACCTTCAATGTATAATACATATGTATAACTCTCCGTAATCATGTTCTGTGAAGTCTGCGTATTTATTATGTGTTTGTTAGTGCAGATGTTTCCTGTTGCAGTGACATGTGGTAATACCTTTGTTCTGAAGCCGTCAGAGAAGGATCCTGGTAAGCTGCTCTTATTCCTTTGAACTATTCCAGTTACTAAAAAGACACTTTTGTGATGTTTGATTGATGTATGGGAAGCTCAAGATACCTTGAATTTCTGATCCTGTCTTAAAATATCATTGACGCCAGTGTACATGTATCTTACTACTAAGGCCAATGTGATGAGCTAAAAGCTCTTAGATATATCACATTTTCTATGTGTTATACTTGACACCTGCAGTATTGGTTGCCTGTTGTCCCATATCGAAATGAAGGTCCCTTCTATTGATGATTTATCTATAGAGAAAAGAAATGTGGTATTGAAGTCGGTTGTTGATATTACTTACTTTCTCCAGGTGCTTCTGTGATACTTGCGGAGTTGGCAATGGAAGCTGGATTACCTGATGGGGTTCTCAATATTGTCCATGGCACCAATGTAGGTTATGTTTAAATTTTTCTGCTCTTGCTAAAATTCTGTTTTGTTAGGATTTGAATTGTAAAAGAGTGGATTCCTATCAGGATGGCGAATGTTCTATTTTGCTATAATAACAATCAGCTCAAAACTGTCCCAAAATTTATTTTGTAAAGATTCCGCACTATTACCTTTACTTTAGATGTCATCAGTAATAATGCATCTTCACATGCCAGGATACTGTGAATGCTATATGTGACGATGAAGATATAAAGGCTGTTTCTTTTGTTGGCTCGAACACTGTAAGTATATATTTTGTTGTTACACTTTTATATAGCTTGCAGTCTTGGGTTTGCGTTTGACGATGTTATGATGAATTGTATTTACGATTTTCATTTGGTCAGTTCCTGTGTAATTAGTTCAGTTGTCTGATAAGATGTTAACATACTACTCCGTAGCGCAGTTAACCATTTCCTAAAACTCTTTAAAAATTGTAAATAAGAACTTACAATGTATGAACTGTTTTCTTCTGAGCCCAGTTTTTTGGTTTAAATGTGTATTCTAAATTGAATTCTTTTGTTTGAAGGCCGGTATGCATATATATGCAAGAGCAGCAGCAAAAGGCAAACGTATTCAGGTAACATCTGGCATCTTTTCCCCTGTAAAATTCTTCCTTGGTATGTCGAAGAGACTCTATGCCAATTTGCTTATGAAAAATCCACTCAGTCAAATATGGGAGCAAAAAATCATGGACTTGTCTTGCCTGATGCCAACATTGATGCTACTTTAAATGCGCTACTTGCTGCTGGGTTTGGTGCAGCTGGACAGAGATGCATGGCATTGAGTACAGTTGTCTTTGTCGGCAATTCAAAATCATGGTACTGCCATCTTTCTTTCTCAATATTCAAATTACTCCAACTCCCCAAGTCTTTGGGAGTATTGAAAAATTAGCTTTTAATTAACCAGGGAGGATAAACTCGTTGAGCGAGCAAAAGCCCTTAAAGTCACATGTGGGTCAGAACCAGATGCAGACCTTGGTCCTGTGATAAGTAAACAGGTATTTTCGCACACAAACCTCTGCTACATGTCATGACTACTGCTTTGTGTAACAATTACGTTTAGTATTGCATTTTGAGTGTTGTTTAATATGTATACCTTAATGCTAAATTTTGATTTGGTAGGCCAAAGAACGAATATGCCGCTTGATTCAATCTGGTGTGGACGATGGTGCTAAATTGCTGCTGGACGGAAGAGATATTGTGGTATTTTCCCAATCTATCGTTACTGCTACTACAATAGACACATCTCTTAAATTCACCACTACACTCTCCATTGTTACTAAACAATAATCATCATTAACTACTTGATCTATTTGTGCTGGGAAAATATTGTTGGATTAGTAGTCTTTGTTTAATTTTGAAAACAATGATTGATTGGTCCAAGAAGTTTATATATCTTTTGCTCATATCAAACAGGTTCCAGGTTACGAGAAAGGGAATTTTATCGGTCCAACCATCTTATCTGGTGTTACCCCAGACATGGAGTGTTACAAGGTATCTATTATTCTGGTATTAAGGCAAATAAACTGTAATCTACTTGAAACTTACATTTCTTTATTCCTTTGGCACATTACAGGAGGAAATATTCGGCCCCGTTCTTGTGTGCATGGAGGTCAAATTTTAAAACTAGTTATATTTTCAATCATAGATTCGTGAGATTGATGCTCTCTGATACCTTTTGTGACGTATTCATTTATAGGCAAGCAGCTTTGATGAGGCCATATCCATCATAAACAAAAACAAGTAAAATCCCTTTTTCTATCCCATTTATATCATTGTACTAATATAACTTTCTAACTTATTCTTCGACATTACGCTTTCAACAGGTACGGGAATGGTGCTGCGATTTTCACTTCGTCGGGGGCAGCAGCAAGAAAGTTTCAGATGGAAATAGAAGCAGGACAGGTATAAAGAACTTTGACATTGTAAGAAACAACCGTTTTTGAATACAATTAATAACATGGTTGATCTCTTTTTTTGTTGTTGTTGCTGCTAAATGTCTTACCAGATCGGTATTAATGTTCCAATCCCGGTTCCATTACCGTTCTTCTCCTTCACGGGGAACAAGGCCTCTTTTGCAGGAGATCTTAACTTCTATGGTAAAAAAGATTGTCAAAACTAAACACAAGAAGATGCGTTCTCTTTCTCTTTGCTTATATACTCTAGTGAAATATTGTTGCAGGCAAAGCAGGAGTGGACTTTTTCACTCAGATCAAGACAGTGACACAACAGTGGAAGGACATTCCAACTTCAGTATCTCTTGCAATGCCTACTTCGCAAAAGCCATAGCTTTACTAGTGTAATTTTCCTTTTGGAACTTGAGTTTTTTTTTTTTTTTTTGGGGTCAACTTAAACTTTTCATTAACCACAGTGTAACAATTTGTCTATCTTCAAATAATTCTTTTACCCCAATTTGGCATCATAGAATACAACTTAGGATCGAAATTCTGAAAAGAAAGAGATTCATTCGCGATTCTATCGGCTACTTTGCTACCTTTTCGCCTTGTGAACTCTAATTTCGTTTCCTCAAAAGTGTTGAAACACTTGCTTGATGTCTTGTATAGTATGATCCAAATGTGTCACATATGCTTTCAATGGCTAGATTAAGTTACCGAAAGGTAAGTTTTGAAGCCAGCCGACTAGGTAACAACATTAGACACATAAATAAGTCTTTACAAGTTAACAATCTGTAAAATACTCAATAGATGTTAGGCCTCGATTGGTAACCATAATTTAGGAAAAAAATGAGAAGGAATGTGACATTCCTCTTCATTCCTCAATTTTTTTACCATTTACAAGGAATCATTTTTCCACATCATTCCTATACATTCCTCACAAAATGAGGAACAATAGAACAAAAATGTTCCTCCCCAAAATTGATGAGGAACAAATGGAAAAAAAAAAACAAATATTAAAATTCGTTTTTTGTTTTAAAATAAAAAAAAAATATTTATTAATAATATTTTAATCTCATAATATAATATTTTTCATATTTTTATCATGTATTGACATTAAAAAATATTTTTGATATGAATTTCATGTTAAAAAATCTTATTATACATTATTTAAAATTTGTATGGATAGTAAAACATATTTAAGAGATGTTTATATCATAAATAACAAATAAAAACTTACTATAATCTATAATAGGTTAATATAAATTATTAATTTTTAACATTAAATATTTAGATTCATTCAAAAATATATTTTAAAATTAGTGTCAAATTCATTATATATAAATTATATCTAGTATTATTATTAAAAGTTGATTTATTTAATCAAATATATTATAAAAGATAGTGTTATTGTTTGGTTACCATTTATTATTTTGTTCTTCTCTCTGCATGTTTTCCTTTCATTCCTCAAAAGTTGTTTATTCCGTTCCGTATTGTTCTTTTTGTTCTTTTTCCTTTTGTTCATCTAATGGTTACCAGTAGAAGCCTTAATGTGTTTCTTCCTTCCCAATTTCATTTGACCTTCATTGGAAAACAAAATCAAATACACGAACCATGACCAATTAAAACATCATATACTTGTAAAAACTAGTTCCAACAACTATACTTGTTTCAAAAAAGATGACCACATACATACATAATTTATAGAAGGACTTTAAACCTCACACCTTTTATATAAATTGACTGAACTATTTCTTACCCTCACTCACAAATCTTTATGTTCTTTACTTAGAATTTAGAGTCCACCATTTGTGTTTTCATCTATCTTTAGCTAAATGGCGTCCGCAGATGTTGAATACACATGCTATGTTGGCAACTTGGAGCCGGACACAGAAGAAAAAGATCTTGACAATGCGTTTTCTCAGTTTGGAGACGTTATAGATTCTAAGGTTCGATTTTCCTTTTCGCTACTTTTACCGCATTGGTATTGAGTTCTTGATTCTTTTTATAATTTGTTTGAACAGGTTGTTTGCGAAAGAGATGATGACTATGATCAGTATTATTATGGTTCTGATAGCGACTACGAATATGAATATGAAGAGCTTCCGGTGAGAAAGGTATATGGATTTGTTAGTTTCATAGATGAGAAGTCTATGAAGGATGCCATCAAGGGAATGAATGGTAAGAAGCTCGGGTTAAAGACCATTAATGTGCAAGAGTCTCACTTGTCTCGTAAGAGTCGTGGTGGTGGTGGATGTGTTGGTTCGAAAAGGGTTTAGATGAAGATAAAATTAATATGGTTTTCATAAGAAAGAATAAGGTTTGAGTCTTTCTAACCAGTAATGATCCAATAATATTGAAATAAGGTTTGAGTCTTTGTAACCCGTAATGATCCAATAATATTGAAGTAAGGTTTGAGAATAATTTGAAAAGTTAATTCATAAAATAATAAGGTTTAAGTCTCCCAATCTTAAGATCACAATGCTTTGTGAACATCATAATGATCATCAACAATATCAACCACCATGTCCTTATAGTCTTTGTTCAATTGGATTACAATATGATTATCATGGGCTTACTTCATGTTTTGTTGCTACATAATAGATTTTTAACTGACCAATTTTTTACTTTGATTTTCCTAATTAATTATTCTATGAATATTAAGTGTGTGTTTTTTATAAACCATATCGGCTGATTCGGTCAGTCTCGGTAGTATCACATCGAAGTGCTTCTGAGTGAATTTTTTTCCCAAAAGACCAGCACACTATATATCCCGAGTTTGAAATGCTTTCCGACTAATGACAAGGGTAGTCAAGTCACCTGCATTTCTGACTACCAAGTAAATCAATTGGACCAAAGTTCAATTGACAGACTTCCCCCATAACTAGGTCTGGGCGTTTGGATATCGGATCAGATTTTGGATTTTTTGGATATTGATTCTAACATCCATTCAAGTATTTATAAAATTCAGATCGGTTTTGGTTCGGGTAATTAAAATTTCGGATCGGTTTGGATATAATTGTGGATAATCTAAATTATCCAAAATTTATCTAATATGGTTTTATTCGCATATTTTAAATTCAACTGTACTCAGTACTCAAATAATCCATACTATCCGACTATCGAAATATAAATATATAAAAATGAGGCAAATGACAAGTTTAAAGATCAAACTAACATAAAATAATACCATACCAATATATAAGTGAAACATAAAATTGTGTTAAAATTTTTAAATAAACCAAAGTAAATCATAAAATCCTAATGAAAAAAGAAGTAGCAAAATTCAGTAACATATATCCTTAGGATATCAAACTGTATATCCTTAAGATATTAAAATGTATCTTATAAGTTCGGTTATATTCGGATATCTATTGATTATCGGTTCGGATCGGATTTATCCGATATGCTTAAAAAGATGAATTCAAGTGCATATGTGTTTTTTGTTGTTGTTGTAATTAGTGTATATGTGTTGTTGATACTATAAAAATTACCAATATTAATGTTTTTTTGGGACAAAATTAAACTACAAATTAATTTAAATTACACAATATATTCAAGTGATTATGATAATGTTTTACAATTTCCGAGATATATCATCTAACCCAACCCAAAAATATTCAATTTAACTTGTGAGAAAGTATCAGCGCGTGTGATCGAGAGAGATCATCTTCAACCTCTTTGAAACAAATCTTCGCAAAACCCTAAATCCCCTTTTTCAAATCCTTCTTCAATCAATCAATGTCCGTCGACGATCTTCCTCCGTCGCCGGCATCCGCCGTTACGCCACTAGGCTCCTCCGTGATTCCGATTGTTAACAAGCTTCAAGACATATTTGCTCAGTTAGGAAGTCAATCGTCGATCAAGCTCCCTCAAGTAGCTGTAGTCGGAAGTCAAAGCAGCGGCAAATCCAGCGTCCTCGAAGCACTCGTCGGCCGTGATTTTCTTCCTCGCGGGAATGATATCTGCACGCGACGACCTCTCCTTCTCCAGCTCGTTCAGACGAAACCTCGCTCTGAAGGTGGATCCGATGAAGAGTGGGGCGAGTTTCTTCACCACGAAGTTGGTAAACGTATCTACGATTTCTCTGAGATTCGCCGTGAGATTGAGGTTTGTTATTTCATACTCTTCTTCTTCTTCTAAAAGTGTTTTTGTAGCGTTGTTACACAGTTCAGTTGATGATGGTTTAATTGTGTGATTGTGTAGGCTGAGACTAATAGAGTATCAGGAGTGAACAAAGATGTCACAGATAATCCAATTCGTTTGAAAATATATTCCCCTAATGTTTTGGATATCTCTCTGGTGGATCTTCCTGGTATCACTAAGGTTCCTGTTGGTGATCAGCCTACTGATATCGAAGCGCGTATACGAACCATGATCTTGTCTTACATTAAGGAATCTAGCTGCTTGATACTTGCTGTTACCCCTGCTAATTCCGATTTAGCCAACTCAGATGCCTTACAAATTGCAGGAAATGCTGATCCTGATGGTTAGTTTTAGTATCAAGTCAATTGCGAATTTATTCGTTTCATTCGTGTATAAAATTATTCACCATTCGCTTTGCTTATAAGTTTACTGTCCTCAGGTCATAGAACCATTGGTGTAATCACAAAGGTGTGGTTTCTCTCTTCATTTATATTATGCTTTTAAAAGTTTCTTGTTTTAAGACTTAGCTGTGATGGCAAACTACTCTATTTCTCATGGCTGCTCTATTTTCTCTCTGATTCAGTTGGATATTATGGACAGAGGTACTGATGCTCGGAATCACCTTCTTGGCAAAACAATTCCTCTTCGACTTGGATACGTGGGAGTTGTAAATCGTAGTCAGGAGGTAAACCCTGTTATTAAAATTGTTTACAGTATGATGCATATTGTTGTTGTTGTATCATAATGAGCTTATTTTGGGCTATCATTAAATCTCGTCGACTCACTTTTACCTTATATATTCTACCTTTCATTTATTTCTGTTCATTGTTACCAAACCATACTATATCAGTTTGCTTTACCTCTTGCTCTGTCGCCACTGCACTTTACCCAACACAAAAATTTATTTGTGTATTGATTTCCATAACAGGATATTTTGATGAACCGTAGCATCAAGGATGCTCTTATTGCAGAGGAAAAGTTTTTTCTTAGTCGTCCTGTAAGACTGTATCCTTATTTCTATTTACTTTCTCATAGTGTTACTTTGACTGTTCTGCTTATATCCTTTTTTCTGACTAAACAGGCTTACAGCGGTCTCACTGATCGTTTGGGTGTTCCTCAACTAGCAAAGAAATTGAATCAGGTATTATCTACAGTCTTGAGATATTCTAAATTCTTTGTTATGATTATCTTATTATGCAGTCAAGATACAAGCTCCATAAGAGATACCCTTTCTGGGTCTCGTGTATATTGGCTTTTGTATGTAATATTCATGTTTCCTAACTATACATAATCTGATTGTGCCCATTCGATATAAAAGGAGTTAGAAACTTTATAGGATACTATTTTGTTTCTCCTCACTGTATATATTTAAGAAAAATTGGCAACATATGCTCATTATGGTTGTTGATTTCATTTTCGTATGGTGAATTCTCTTTCTGTTAATTGATTACTCCTTTTCTAAAGATGGCTTTACATAGGTTTCTATTATCTGTAAAATTATAAGCTGTCTAATGGGAGCTACTCCCTTTTCCATTTTTTGCAGATCCTTGTCCAACACATCAGGACAATGCTTCCTACTTTAAAGTCACGTATCAACACCGCATTGTTTGCTACGGCAAAGGAGTATGAGAGCTATGGGGCTATAAGAGAGTCCAGGGTATGTGTTTTTCAGCCAGTTTTTGCCCAATAGATCCCATCCATTCTCAGTGGTGACATTGCTATTTGTGTTGCTATCTTGTAGCTACTTGTTTTTGCGTTGTATGGTTTCTTTGCTCAATTTTCGTTTCGAATAAATTTTATTTATGTATGTGATTCACTTCGTGACATATGAGGGAACCTGTTAGTGTTCGAACGTGTTAAGATATGGAGGGAAAGATGTCTGGCAAATTACCAGGCATTTATTTCCGTTGTTAGCTAGATATGCTTTCCAATTACATTTCCTTATAATATATACTTGCCTCATAAGATGTCATTTAAAACATATATAAGTGTATCATTGTGGCTATATAACTTACAGCTTTCTCTGTGTCTGTACTGTTTTCAAATTCACAGGGCGGTCAAGGAGCTCTTCTCCTCAGTTTTCTTACAAAATACTGTGAAGGTAATATCAGAAGATGGGTTCTCTTTCTGTTTAGGCAACAAATGTTAATTTGTTCTTTTTAGGTTGGTATTGCTCCTTATCACGGTTCAATTGTTCATAACAGCATACTCCTCAACCCTGGAAGGGAAAAGTAAAGAAATGTCTACATCTGAGCTTTCCGGTGGAGCAAGAATTCTCTACATCTTCCAATCAGTCTTTGTTAAGAGCTTGGAGGTTTGTTTGTACATTTTCATACTTTTCCCTTGATCTTCACTTAGATGCCTTTTGGTTTGTTGTTCCAAATTTTGTGCATTATGCTATATCTTAGTTAGGTGATAGTATCATAATTCAAAATTAAATTTTTGGTATCACTTGTGGTCTTTCATGGAGGTTCATTTTGTTGCTATTGACATCAAACCTGTACACGTGTGCATGACTTTCTAATAATTGACCTGGAAGGCAGACAGTTCGTTTCAGCTTTTAAGCTCTTGGAAGCGTTGCATGTATGCAGCTTCTTTACGAGTAGAATTACTTCAGTTAGAAATACAATCAATGTTTATGTTTGTTCAATTCCCTGCATCTTTCGAAGCATCTGATTTGCTATCGCTTGAAATTGATCTGTATCTTCTCAGCTGTATAGTGATCTTTTACATTCCTTTACCTACTAATGTTGTCAGTGGCTCAGTGCTATTTGATACGGGTTTTAGAATTTAAACCTATTTGTTTCCTTCACTTTGCTTCTGCAGGAGGTTGATCCGTGCGAAGACTTAACAGATGAGGATATTCGGACTGCAATACAAAATGCAACTGGTCCCAGATCTGCATTATTTGTTCCAGATGTAGGTGTTTATCCCCAAGTCGTGCTTATTCAGTACTTTCCACATACTGAAATTGCTTGAGCTTTCTACTTTTGAGCTACTCTGATAAGTATCTCTTGCTTTCATTCTCTTCGCAATAGGTTCCATTCGAAGTTCTTGTCAGGAGGCAGATATCCCGTTTATTAGATCCCAGCCTTCAGTGTGCTAGGTTCATTTATGATGAGCTAATAAAGGTGTGATTTATCATGTGCTACATTACTATACTTGTTAATTTACTTGCTCTTGAATTTTAAATAGAAATTTCTCTACAGATTAGTCATCAGTGTATGATGACTGAGTTACAGCGGTTCCCAGTCCTGCAAAAGCGCATGGACGAGGTTATTGGGAACTTTCTGCGAGAAGGTCTTGAACCTTCACAAGCAATGATCCGAGATATTATTGACATGGAGGTATGCATGAATAATTTAAGCTCCACACAGTACTGATTGCATGGCCAGATATGTTAAATATCTGAAATATCTAAACTATATACTGATTTTTGTTTCTCCTGTCATGCTGGTGGAGTAGCAGGGGGATGTTCTAAGTTTGAGATAATCTATTATTACTCAATTTTACGGAATACAGCCTCTTTTAAATTTGGATTCTTAGTGATGCTGGTTGTGAATGCTGGGAATTCGGTTTAATTTATTAAGCTTACCATTTGCAGATGGATTACATAAATACCTCACACCCAAATTTTATTGGGGGTACCAAAGCTGTGGAGCTTGCAATGCAACAAGTAAAATCTTCTAGGATTTCGCATCCTGTTACGCGGCCAAAGGTGTGGAATTGTCTCAGCAAAGCATTAAGATTGTTTATGTATTTCTCATTGTGACTTGTACAATTTTGCATACATGTTCCTTTTTCACTTACCAGGATACAACAGTGGAGCCTGAGAAGGCAGCTTCTTCTGCGAGTCAAATAAAAACTCGATCTTTTCTCGGCCGGCAAGCTAATGGAATCATCGCTGATCAGGTATTATCATTTTTTTAATGTTATGTGTGTGTTTGACTCTGTAACATTTGTAGTCTGACTCCTGCTTCTGAAAGTCCACGAAGGGAGTACAAATATCCAGCTAAAGACTTATTATACTATATATAACATTTTTCCGTAACATTTTTCACAGGGTGTTCTAGCTGCAGCAGATGCTGAAAAATCCGGACCAGCTGGTAATTGTTATTACATTCATTTTTCTGCCTTTCATGTATGTATAGTTAAATGAATATGTGGTTCATTGTCTGAGATATGACTTCCATACAAGCATACATGTCTGGTCTTTATTTGTTGAAGAACCCAATGCTCTGTGTATTGATCTTGACCAATTGAGAATCAACCAGGAAACACAACCTGGAGTGGTTTTTCATCAATTTTTCGGGGGAGTGATGGTCAGGCAGCTGCTAAGAACAACTTACTAAACAAACCATTAAGCGAAGCAGCTCAGAATGAGTATCAGAACTTGTCAACAATCTATTTAAAGGAGGTTTAAATCTCTTGCCTTCTCAAGCTCCTCATACTTTCCCAATACAATAAAATATTTACCATCTATTCACCTCATAAATCTTTGTTTGGTTTTTGAAGCCTCCAACTGTTTTGAGGTCATCTGAAAATCATTCAGAACAGGAGTCAGTTGAAATTCAGATAACAAAGCTATTATTGAAATCCTACTATGACATTGTAAGGAAGAACGTCGAGGACTTGGTTCCAAAAGCAATCATGCATTTTCTGGTTAGTGTCCCCTCCCTCAAATTCACGTTGTGGTGTTACGTGACACTTGTAACTTAGTAGCATCTTTCGATCTTTTACTAGACCTGAAGTAACTCAACTGTGAGGGGATTTGTAACTATTCTATGTAATTGATAATATACACAGGTAAATTACTCGAAACGTGAGCTGCACAACGTTTTCATCGAGAAACTTTACAGGTGAAGAAAGAAAACATGTTACTCTCATCTGATTTTGTAAATAGTCTTTTTATATGAACTTAACAAACTGGTGGATTGGACAGGGAAAACTTGATTGAAGAACTGTTGAAAGAGCCAGACGAGTTAGCGATAAAGAGGAAACGAACGCAAGAGACTCTTCGCATTCTTCAGCAGGCTAATCGGGTAAGTTCTCAAAGGTTTGTGCTGAACAAATTGCAATATTAACTTGTTAAAATGTGTCTACTTCTTGATATTTTTAAAACAGACATTAGACGAGCTACCCTTAGAAGCGGAATCAGTTGAGAGAGGTTACAGAATCGGTTCTGAAGCGAAACATGAGGAGTTACCGGGTACAAGAAGATCAAGGACAGAAACCAATGGTAACGGGAACGGACGGTTCTGATTTGTGACGGACATGTCTCAATTCATTTGGTGAATGGAAACGATTTGTTTTCTCCCCTTTGAAATCGATTCTGCCTTTGGGGAGGTATAGGTGAAACATCATATCATTAAAGAAGAAGGTTTTGTTGTTGAGGGTATTATTGTTAGCTTATTAGAAGAATGCAACTTTTATCTGTGTTTCTCGGAGCTGAGAAGAATAATCAAAGTTTCTAATTTCACTCTTCATAGCATTATTCTTTATTACATTACATCAGGCGGTTTGCAAAAGAAAAAACTAAACATTAACAAGGTTTTCTGCCCTGTCCTAAAAATTTGAAAGAATGTAATTTTTTTTTTTTTGACTTGAGAGTTGATTTTGTTTTTAATTCTAGAGTTTTGAAATTCTCTAATTGTGTTTTGTTAAAACCCCTATACATAATTTTCGAATTATCAGATTGCTTAATCTTTCAGAATGATTTTTTGTTCAGATTCAATACATATCTTGAGGTGTCCATGTAACTTATTCGTAGTAAATAATGTAAATTAAATACAACAACACTGAAGAATCAATGTCTCAGTCTTTGTCAGTCTCTGATGATGCAGGCTTTCCAGAATACTTATCACGCCAAACCTGTTTATTCTTCTCCATACTGTTATGGTTTTGAGTAAATTCAGTAAGCCCTTGTCTGAATGCTCCAAGCGTAACCCCATTGCCCACCAAGATGCTTGTCACTCCCATTTTCGAAACCTGTTTTTATTCACACACAACACCAAAGATTCAGTCTTAGTGCATACGCATAGTAAAGGCGACATAAAGTTCAACTAACACAAAGTAGCAGTTCGTCCTTACCGATTTGATGTTTCTGTCTTCATCATCGAAGAAGAGCATCTCAGTAAAAGGCACTCCCGTCCTTGTATGTATCTTCTGAAAATGTTCTGTCTTGTGAGTCCAACTTGAGTAAATTTCCTGAAAACAATCCCAAAAGTATTATTACCTTATGCCACACAAATACATTAACAACTTCCTATTCCTATTCCTTTCCAATACATTTCATCGCTTGAACTACGAAGAATACATCAAATGTGGTACCAGACGACACTTCTCTAACACACACGAGATAAATCTGAACCAACATCACTAGAAATGCTTTGCTACAACAACAACAACAACAACAAGACGATGATTAGAACTAACCTTGGCGAGAAACAAAGGCTTAATGTTCAATTTATCAAGAAATGTGTTAGCAATATCTGAAGTAGGAGATCTCGAAGCAACAGCCATTTCAATCCCCTTCTCTTTCAAACCACTCAATATCCCCTTTGCTTGTGGATACAAAGACGGCATTTCGCGTTTCGAACGACATTCGCTGAAACAAATCACACATCCAAAACTAATTAAAGATTCAAACTTTATCAAAACCAAACAATATGATCAGATCATTCACACTCTTTCTTAAACTCTCACTTTTTTAAAATTTACAATCATAACCCAAAATTAACAATTCATAAAACTCAAAACCCTAAATACCAATTCCACTGTGCATTTGATTAAACCAAACAAGTTCCACAAAAATTGGATGAAGAACAAAAGAGAAGAAAGGGGTACCAGTAAAAAGGCCAGAGAGTGTAATCGAGATCAAAGACGACGAGTCTCGGAAGAATCTGGAACATTCCTATTATCTGCATCGCTTCATCTTTAACTTTCTCTTCCGCCATCGCCGGAGATGTTTCTTTCAATCGCGCGAATGGAGAGACGCTAATGGGACATGTGTAGTAGACCTGGTTTGGGAGAATATGAAACTTCTCAAAAGAACCCCTCTAGTGTTTTAAGTTTATGGAAACGACCCTTATTTTATTAATTTGACAGTTTTGGGAATGTTGTTTTGCTTATTTTGCAATTTAATCCTAATTTAGGGAAAGTTGTAAGAAAAAATGAGACTTTTTTCCCTAAACCGAAATAATTCTGATTTTGTGGTTGAATTCGTAACAAAAATATTCATGTTTGTGTTATGTATATAATGCGGTAAATTGTTTTGGATCTTATTAGTAATATACAACTGTAATATACGATTTGGCTATTTTGCCAATATAAGTTTAGGATGAAAATGAGAAGTTAACAAAAGCTTAAGATTTAATTAAAAGATCAACAAAAGTTTAAGATTTAATTGAAAAGTCAACCAAAGTTGGAAATATATTTATTGGCAAAGTTTATTTTTCTCCAACCAAAACGGACTATTTTCATGATTTTTATGATATGTTTGTAATTAGAAAGATAGACCAATATATATATATATATTAAAGTATTTACGATGATATTATTTATCAGTTTCGTAGTCATGTTAATATGGATATTAGATTATGATCAGTGTTGTATCACGAATTAATGTTTTTTAAAGATTTTAAACTTTAAAATTATCTTTAAAAAGTAAATGATGTTATTAATTTATGTGAAAAGGTACATTAATATCTTATTAGCTTTGAATATTTATTTAATTTATATTATATTTTTTTATAGTATCCGATATTATTTAAATCTTTCATAATACAATGTCATATTCCCTTTTGTTGAATTTGTTTACTTTGGTTAAGTTTTATTTAAAATTTAACTGTAATTAAGTACGGAATAATAGTTTATGTAAATTTTGATGTAATTATAACTATGTCATAATATTATAAGACCAAAATATATTATATTAAATTATTTTATAATATAAAACTGTAAATATTGGATTAAGTTGATTATACTATCAGAAATAATTGTTACAGCTGAATATATACATACAAAACAAAGTGCATATTTTGTCATTTTCAGTTATACATGCATATAAATTGTAATCGATACTAGAACAATTAAAGAGATTGTGTACACAATATGTACAATAAATATGAATTTCAGTATTCAATATACCTAGTTTTTATAAAGTAAATAAAAATATATTAAAATTTATTTGCTTATTTCACAATATACCTAGTCGTCGCGCTTGTATTCTTCGCTGTGTATCATGAAGATTCTTTGTTTGGCTGGGGGTGGTGGGAGCTGATCGTCCTCTTGGTTGCCTGCTCGGGCGGCGTCCTGGCCGTCCTGCTGAGGTCGGGCGTTGTTGGCATTCCCGGGGCCTGGGCGGTCATCTCCTACTGTTCGACATATTTATCTTTGCTCTTAAGGACCTGCTGTTTGGGCGGCAGATACTTCTGGGAGAGTATGCTTTGTTCCTCTTCTATCTCTACGTAGCGGGTCGCCCGATGCAAGGCGTCTTCGAGCGTATCGTATTGGTTTAATGTGAGATCCTCCCGGAAACGGCACTTAAACCACAGTGCGCTCCTGAGAGCCGAGAGCGAAACCTTGTTGGGTGCATTCACCTGGAAAGCAACCTTTTAAAACCTTTCGATGAATCCCCTGAGAGGCTCGTCGATTATCTGAACGGTCGACCATAGGTCGGCCGTTGTTGCCCCTGGAATAGCCAAGATCGAGTATTGCTTTAGAAATGCGAGTGAGAGCTGTTTGAAATTATCGATCGAGTTGGCCGGCAGATTCGAGAACCACCCTAGTGCGTCTCCACTCAGTAGTTCCGTGAATAGTTGACATTTGCCGGCGTCTGACTGGGCTAGCGTAAGGTTGCATCGATGGATGGCGATTTCAAACGAAGTCAGGTGATGCGTTGGGTCCGAGTCGCCTTTGAAGTGGGCACATTTAATCTTGGTGTCCTTTGGGATCACCACGTTGCGGACGCGTGTAGTGAAGGGCGTGTTCTGTGACTGTTCCAGCATACGATCCACATCAGGCGCCGAGCTTGTTGCTCGGTGCATGCGAGTCGACACCTCCTTGATTTTTCCGCGCTGCTCGGCGAGCTCATCATTGCCTTGAGTTGGGTTGGCGGCCGCAGTTTCTTCGGCGGTCGGCGCGTTTGGTGAGCCTGCCTGACTCTGGATGGCAGCGCATACTTCAGATAGAGCTGCGAATCGCTCGCTCGTTTTCCGCTCTTGCTCGTCCATCTTGGCGAGGATGCTGCGCATTAGGGCGCTGATACCGGGGTTGCTTGTCCCTTCTCCGTCCTCGGTCGTCGGAGCGCTCGGCGGGTTACCTTGTCCTGGCTGGAAACGGTCGGGGGTGTCGGCCACAAATTCTCCACTTCCGGCTTCCATTCTTGTATCTTGCAGATGTGCGATATCTAAAAACGAATTACTTTTAGCTCTGCCCCACGGTGGGCGCCAAATGTTGGAATAGTGCTCGGCACAAAGGGGGAAAATATCAGAAATGTTCGTTAAGGGTCGGGCCAAAAGGTTCGTCTTATTAATCGGAGATCGGCAATTACAATAGGGAACGAGTACAAAATTGTTCGACACTTAAAGTGACTAAAAGACGAGCTCTCTGATGTACTTCTTGTCCTCTTCGATGTACGTGATGTCTTGTCACATCAAGTCCCTTTCCTTTTATAGGCGGATGATGTGACAGGACACCGACTTTAGGTCAAGACTTAGTGGGCCGATCGTCATGGGCCGACCATCCGCGGCCCGAATCCTAACTGGGCCGTCAGGCTGAATTGGTTGTCTATTGTCGTCTTCCGCGGACTCGTGCCACGTCATCCACCTTCCTCCGGGCCGGGCAGGAAAAAAGTGGAGGGGACTCACAAATTGAGGCCCATATCCAACAACCAATATATATATTAAAGTATTTACGATGATATTATTTATCAGTAATCGTAGTCATGTTAATATGGATATTAGATTATGATCAGTGTTGTATCACGAATTAATGTTTTTTAAAGATTTTAAACTTTAAAATTATCTTTAAGAAGTAAATGATGTTATTAATTTATGTGAAAAGGTACATTAATATCTTATTAGCTTTGAATATTTATTTAATTTATATTATATTTTTTTATAGTATCCGATATTATTTAAATCTTTCATAATACAATGTCATATTCCCTTTTGTTGAATTTGTTTACTTTGGTTAAGTTTTATTTAAAATTTAACTGTAATTAAGTACGGAATAATAGTTTATGTAAATTTTGATGTAATTATAACTATGTCATAATATTATACGACCAAAATATATTATATTAAATTATTTTATAATATAAAACTGTAAATATTGGATTAAGTTGATTATACAATCAGAAATAATTGTTACAGCTGAATATATACATACAAAACAAAGTGCATATTTTGTCATTGTCAGTTATACATGCATATTAATTGTAATTGATACTAGAACAATTAAAGAGAATGTGTACACAAGATGTACAATAAATATGAATTTCAGTATTCAATATACCTAGTTTTTATAAAGTAAATAAAAATATATTAAAATTTATTTGCTTATTTCACAATTTAATCCTAATTTAGGGAAAGTTGTAAGAAACAATGAGACTTTTTTCCCTAAACCGAAATAATAATGATTTTTTGGTTGAATTCGTAACAAAAATATTCATGTTTGTGTTTTATAACACAAAATTTGTGTTTCGTATATAATGCGGTAAATTGTTTTGGATCCTATTAGTAATATACAACGATAATATACGACGTGGTTATTTTGACTATAAAATTTTAGGATGGAAATTAGAATTTAACAAAAGTTTAAGATTTAACTGAAAGAACAACAAAAGTTTAATATTTGATTAGTCAACTCAAGTTGGACATATACTTTTTTTGGTAGGGAGACAACGTCTCCGCAAATTTATTCAAACCAAAATAAAAAATTACACACGAACACGACGTGGGTACGCAGTCCCATTAGCATCGTCCAACAAAATAGAAGTAACACAATCAGGACAAGAATCAAAGCGATAAAAACCCAACGGTAAGGAGAAGGCATGGTTAGCTAACCCATCGGCAAGATGGTTAACCTCCCGATAATTATGTGAAAACCGGACTATCAAGTCCCTTGAAATTAAGCCATAGCACAAGCGTACAAGGAATGATAGCGAATGTGAATCAATTATCCCTGCCTATAGAAAATCCACAACAATCTTCGAATCAATTTCCACCTCCAAACAAGTGATTCCTCTCTCTCAAGACACATTCAACCCATAGTATACTCCCCAAATCTCGGCCAACGGGGCTGAGCATACACCAATGTTCAGAGCAAAGCCTACACACCAGTTACTCTCACCATCTCTTAGAACCCCACCCGCAGCAGCTAGACCAGGATTACCTCGGGATGCACCATCAGTATTCAACTTAAACCATCCATTCGTCGGAAGGCGCCACACAATAAGTCTCTCCACACGGCCAACAATCTCCCTATCACCACTTCTTGCGTGCGCTTGTAAAGTCTCCTTAGCTTGATCCTTTACAAACTGCACTTTATCTCTGCACTTTCTCTTCTCTCCAAAAACATTTCCACACCGCTATTTCCAGCCCCACCAAGCTGTTACAACAAACAAAGTAGCCCACTCAATATTTCCCACCTCTCTTCTACTACCAAGATTGTCAAAGAGCCACTCTAACAGCAATTTTGTCAGAAAGGTATTCACAAACGTGGTGAAACCAGTCTCTGCCATACTCCTTTCATTGTCGGACAATCCCTAAGGATATGAATTATGGTCTCTTCTCTCCTTTACAAACATAGCAAATTCTTGTGTCTCTCAAATGCCTACGTTGTCTTTCCACATTCGACATCAGAGCTTGATTTCCAACTAACCATAAAAAAACTCTAATCCTCTCTGGTGCCACCACATACCAAATACGATCAAAGAAGCTTCCCCAACCTTGGCGAGGTGTATTATCTTGAGTTATGAGATTATAAGCCGACTTCACAGAGAATTTCCCATCCGAGTTTCCACAGCAAGAAATTATATCCCGAGCCCCAGCAAAATTATTAACCACTATTGCTGGCAGTTTAAGGCTTACATTAGGCGGAACAAAAGCTTGAATTCGTGGCAGATCCCATCCGACACCATTTCTCCACATATCCTGCACAACAACAGTTTCATAACCATGCAGCAAAGTACCAGTCACCAGCTCCTCCAAAGGTATATTCATCAACCATTTATCTGACCAAAACCAGACAGTTTTTCCATCCCCGAGAACCCAACTCAGTCCCAGCAATATCACTTCCTTCAGACCCACTCCAACACTCCTCCAAGTAGAAGAACAGTGAAACTTAGTAATTAGCCATGTTTTATCATGTAGATCACCCACTTTATACTTACTTTGAAGCACTGCAGCCCAAAGACTAGATGTATCATGTAGTAACCTCCACCCCACTTTAGCTATCAACGCTTTATTCATCACCTTGGCTGATCTAATCCCCAGCCCTCCCTCATGTTTTGGAGCACAAACACGCTTCCAAGAAATCAGATGCTATTTCTTCTTTACTTCAGTACTCCCCCATAAGAAGTTTTTCGAAATCTTATCCAGCAAACCAAGCGTCTTACTAGGCAGAATTATCTTAGTCATGGAATGGACAGGTATATATGTTAGAACAGCCTTAGTGAGTGTCATGCGACACGCAAAGCTAAAGAATTGTCCCTTCCAACCCGACAGTCTTGATAACACTCTCTCTACAACCTCACCAAAAGTATCCTTATTTATGCATTTATGAAGAACAGGCATACCCAAGTATTTACCAAGCTCCTTTATTGCCTTAATCCCGCTTTCCACACTGATTAAAGTATCTAATTCACGACTGACATTGGATGATAAGATTTTTTTTTTACTTTTCCAAACTCACATTCTGTTTCGAAGCAGCACAAAAATTCTCTAAAACTCTCCGAATAACACGGATTTGCGCTAAAGATGCTTCCGCAAACAAAATGAGATCGTCTGCAAAATAGATGTGTGGCAGTTTCGGTCCTCTCTGAGATAATCGTATTGGTTTCCAGCACTTAGCAGCGATAGAAAGTTCAATTTGGTGGCATAACCTCTCCACACACAAAACAAAAAGATATGGCGATAAAGGATCTCCTTGACGAAATCCTCTACTTGTTTAAAAGCCTATGTCTTCTCTCCATTCCACAAAATAGTCATGGATGGCCTGGTAACGCACTGCATAATCCATCAAATCCAAGCCTTCTAGAAGCCCGCAACCATGAAAGTCTATTCGAGAAAGTCCCAGGGAACTTTAGCTTTCTCAAGATCCAACTTTAGTAATATCCATCCCTTTCTGCCCTTTTTCCTTTTCATGGAATGAACCGCCTTCTGAACCACTACAATATTATCCATACTCAATCTCCCCGGAATAAAGCTAGACAGAGCTGGACCGATAAGCTTCGAGATCACCTTCTTCATTCTCCCCACCATTGTTTTAGTAATGGTTTTAAAGAGGACATTACATAAACCAATCGGTCAAAACTGGATAATCCGCTCCGGTTTCAGCACTTTAGCATATATTTACTCAAAGGCAAAGTTGAACTTATATTTACTCAAAGGCAAAGTTGAAGTTTTTTTCAACCAAACAGACTGTTCATCCTTTTTTATGATATTTTCCGAACTAGAAAAATGGACCAATATATAATAAATTTGAAGTATTTACGACGATATTATTTGTCAGTATTCGTAGTCATGTTAATATGGATATTAGATTATGATCAGTGTTGTATCACAAATTAATGTTTTTTAAAGATTTTAAACTATAAATTTATATTTAAAAGTAAGTGATGTTATTAATTAGTGTGAAAAAGTACATTATTTTTAAAGATTTATTTAATTTAGATTATACTTGTGTTTATAGTATCCTATTTTATTTAAATCTTTCGTAATACAATGTCATATACCTTTTTTCTTGAATTTTTTTTTACTTTGGTTAAGTTTTATATAAATTTTAATTGTAATTAAGTACGGAATAATATTTTCTGTAAATTTTAATATAATTATAACTATGTCATAAATTTTTAAGACCAAAATATTTTATATTAGATTATTTTGTAATGTAAAACTGTAAATATTGGATTAAGTTGATTATACTATGGGAAATAATTGTTACAGCTGAATATATACATACAAAACAAAGTGCATATTTTGTCATTTTCAGTTATACATGCATATTAACTATAATCGACACTAGAACAATTAAAGAGATTGTGTACACAAGATGTACAATAATTATGTGTTTTCACTTTTCAGTATTCAATATACCTAGTTTTTATAAAGTAAATAAAAAATATATTTAAATTTACTGAATTATATATATATATATA